GGAGCTCTGCTGCCCGCCCCGCGCGGCCGCGCGTCCCGCGGATCCGCCAGCGCGCGCGCCAGGTGCTCGCGACCCCGGGCGACTTCCCGTCTTTCCTCACACCGGCTCGCTGAATTAAACCATTCACGCTGCTGCGTACTGTGAAGCTACAAGCAGACGGTCTCTTTTTTCCTACACTGCAGAGTAGAGTGCTCTGTGTTCGTAGTTTGGTGTTTGGACACTATCAAGCATATCAGACCAGCACTATTCAGGCATATTTTTATAGAGATAAGATTATATCTGATAGAGATTTTCAAAAGTCATTACGTAAGTTTTAGTCTCTGCAAAGGAAGTGTCTAAGGAAGTGTCTTATTAAAAACACATAGTGAGAGATTAAGAATACGAAGTTAGTCTAGTAGCAGTCTACTACATAGTGTAATAGTAAATTAATCAATCATTTGATTTTTGACAAATGGCTTTCATTATCCTTTGTTTACCAGGAAACTGAGCATTGAATAAGCATATGTTTATTGGAAAACTACTTTTAAGTATCTGTTCATGGTGCAAAGTATATAAATACAAGAAATACATGACAAAACAGACACACTTGCTGCACTTATTTTCTCAGACAAAACTATGCAATGTTCCAGTCACTACTGTGGCCAGCTTCCCTACAAACATTTCACCAACAGAGGGACCAATCAGTAGGAATATGTATTTTGCTAGTTAAAAGTGACTTTAGAAAAATGAAACATAATAAGGAATGCAGCTCTTGAAAGATCAGTTGTACATTTATTCATATCCAAAGTCAGTTAAACAATACTTCCTCTATTTTACAAGGCATCTTCCCTTTTCCTCATGTATGTTTCCAAACTCTCTAAAGAGATTTTAAAAAGACAAAATTTCCCTTCTTTGGAATAGCAAAATCTAAATTTGAGACCAAAATATGATAGCAGTTCTGGAACCCATTTCACCTAAATGTGCTGAGAAGTAATGAGACATTAAAATTAGTTTATAAAATGGTCATTAAAGGTAGTAAGAATAATAAGACGTTAGGGTCACCGCAGTACGGTGACACTGCGACGGCCACGGCGAGGCCCCCCGGCCATGCCCGTCCGTACAGCACAGCAGCTTGCAAAGCACCACGGCAGAACCCGGCGCAGCTCGAGCACCTCGAGCACCTCGAGCACCGGCGAGCGGGGGAGCTCCGGCTCACGCGGGAGACTTGGCTCTTGGCACAAATCTACGTTCAATGGAGCAAGGACACCCCTGCAAGTGACTTTCATTTATAGTGGCATTTGCACGTCACTCCATCACCATCCATAAATACTCATAACTTGAAAACATTTATTTCCTTTAACATCAATGAACAATTCCCTTATTTAACACACTAAATGCAAAAGTTAGTAGGCTTTGGACCTAATGCAGCCCAGGAGATGAACCACTGCTTAACAGCTTAGATATAAAAATGTGGTCCTTCAGTTTAGATATATGCCTTACATATTTTGGCTCACTGATATACTTTAACATTCGTAAATACTATACTGCATTGCTTTATGGAAAGATGAGAATTTTGGAAAAAGAATTTAAAGAACTGCAGCCTGGGAAGGAGGAAAGAGAAAACTGTTTCTTTTTACAGATTTCAAAGCAGCAATCTTGACTTTGATTTCAAAAGTCACCAGCTGACCCACCATCTGCAAACCAGCATAAAATCAGGGAATATAGATCATTTGTGCTCTCTTGTAGAGCTATCTGAAGTTTAGAATTGGAAGAAAAACATCCCACTTCATGTCCCAGAAAGGGGCTACCACATCTTTCACCTCACAATATTAAGTCTCTTCCCAGATCCTCTGTTAATAGGATTCCCTTAGCCAGCAGATGGATTGTGAATACAGGCAGTTTCATCTACTAAAAGACAACATAAATCATCATTGAGAAAGGAGAGACCGCAGTAAGGTTATCACCATACAGCCTTCTCCATGAAAGGTTTGCATTAAAGCATTAGTGAAATTAATTCATCTTTCATAAGAGCTTTGAGCAGTATCCGTGATCTATGATAACAACCAATTTCTCACTATGGGAAAAAAAAATTACTCAGGCCTGATAGACTACACAAATCTGCTTTTTTTAAATGGCCTAACATTATCTGGAGTGTTGCTCCCAGAGGCATCATTTGAGTCTTATGCCCAGCCAAGAGGACCCATAAATCAAGACAGAAAGTTTTGTTAGTTTTATATGCAGTGGGCTGTAATTATTTTGAATTGCATTATGCCTCAATCATTGTAATTACTTTTAGATCATCCTTAAGCGGCAGTAATAAAAAGAAAAGAAATCAGTCTTAAACCATTTCTCACACAAAAACACTCTCCACACAGCACGGGAAGCCTGGCTAAAACACACGCATGTAAATTTAGCATTCGGGCTGACACTCAGCGCACGCATTCTATTTCAGCAAAAGTTCTCCAAATACTCATGATTTTGTGGTCTTTAAATTAAATCATTATCACCAGCATTTGGCTGGGAAGGAAATACACTGGTGAACAGAATTAGCATTAGCTTTCAGTACAGATACACTTACCCGAGAACCAAATCTACGCCACCGGTGATTCCATGTGTGTGTGTGTGTGTGTGTTACACACACTTGACAGGCACCTTGGACTTGTGACATGAAATGAAAAACACACTTATTTTCTAGTTTTCCAAACCACATGAGAAAGCCCCATGTGACTTTGGTGCAGAGTGGGAATGGACTAACATATCCACCAAGCTCTGAACTTCAAAACTAGCCCTAAACTCCCCAAAAAATCCTTTAAGGTGTTTTCTCCCCAAAGGCAAAAGCTGGTAACACCATGTCGAAGGCAGTTTCCTTTCCAGCTGAGAGACACAGAACTACTTGTGCAATGCTCATCCAAGCACAAATTCACTACTTTTATACCTCTGAATGTGAACATTTACATAAATTCTAAACTAATTTTTAAAATTTTAACAGTTCTAATATTAACAGTAATGTGCATGCTTGATCCACAGAGGTAGGAATTCAACAAATTTAACCAGTAAGGAACTGTCTTCTCTCTACGTGCAGTAGCGCGTGGCGGTGCCGAGCAGAACGCAGCGTCGCAGCGAGGACGGCGGCAGAGCTGCTGCACCGTGTCACACGCCACCGCGCAGCGAGTCTCCCCGAAGCACAGTGCAATGCACTGAGCGCTGCAGGCCGTTTGCAATGACTTTAGATATATAAAAAATTGGTGTACACACACACACACAATCAAACCTAATTCATATTCCTGAGAGTAGCTACTAAAATAAATCAAGAGCAAGTCAGAATGAAACCTAATATTTGGGAAAGCTCCCCTGGATTGTACATACCTCAGGGAAATAATCCTGTGGAAACTTCTCTTTTTCCAGCATGGGCGTGCTTTCTAAAGTGTCTGAGTAGATTTCTTTCCCAGTAACCTTTTTATACTTCTTAGCTAGAAAGAGATAGAAAACATGCTTAACAAACAAAATGTTACCATCATAAGCAAATTTTAGCAACTTAATGGGGGCATCTGTAAAACAAATAGTGCCTTGGCACAAATATGCACAGGAAGAGGAATATGTAAAATACTGAGTGATCTAGAACAGGAAAACTGGGAATTTCTCTGTTTCTCGGGACAGGAATGTTCCCCAGTACTAAAATTAGAAAACAGCAGTGGGAAACATGACAGAAATAGGAAGGTTTTTTTGCCTAACATATTATTGCACTGGATGACTCACTGTCCTGCAAAGCACAGC